TACGCGGCGCGAAGGCGAGAACCACATTTTGAAAAAGACCCGCCCTCAACCCGTGAACTTCTTGCAATCTTTAAAGGCGAATGTGCGCGGCGTTGAAGCGAGAGCATGCGTCTCCCCCACCCAGTACAGCGTTTCGAAGCATTTTAGGGAGCTCCATCGAAGGTCCCACTGGCTCAGTTCGCATGCGTCTCCCCCGCCCAGTACAGCGTTTCGTGGCCCCAGGGGGGGCTCCACCAAAGGCCCCAGTGGCGCAGTTCGCATGCGTTTCCCCCACCCAGAACAGCGCTTCGTGGCCCCATAGGGAGCTCCACCGCATGCGTCTCCCCCGCCCAGTACAAGGTTTCGTGGCCCCACACGGATCTCCACCGAAGGTCCCAATGGCGCAGTTCGCATGCGTCTCCCCCACCTAGTACAGCGTTTCGTGGCCCCAGAGGGAATTCCACCGGAGGTTCCACGGGCGCAGTTCGCATGTGTCGCCCCAGTACAGCGTTTTGTGGCTCCATAGGGGGCTCCACCGAAAGTCCCAGTGGCCCCGCTCGTATGCGTCTCCCCCACCCAGTACAGCGTTTCGTGGCCCCATGGGGAGCTCCACCGAAGGTCCCAGTGGCGCAGTTCGCAGGCGTGTCCCCCACCCAGTACAGCGTTTCGTCGCCCGAAAGGAAGCTCCACCGAAGGTCCCCATGGCGCAGCTCGCATGCGTCTCCCCCACAGAGTACAGTGTTTCGTGTCCCCATAGGGAGCTCCACCGAAAGTCTCCGTGGTCCCGTTCGTATGCGTCTCCCCTACCCAGTGCAATGTTTCCTGGCCCCATAGGGAACTCCACCGAAGGTCCCACTGGCGCAGTTCGCATGCGTATCCCCCCTCCCAGTACAGCGTTTCGTGGCCCCATGGGGAGCTCCACCGAAGGTCCCAGTGGCGCATTTCGCATGCGTTCTGCCCACCCGGTACAGGGTTTCGTGGCCCCATGAGAAGTGAAGTGGCGCAGTTCGCAGACGTATCCCCCACCCAGTACAGCGTTTCGGGGCCCCATAGGGAGTTCCACCGAAGGTCCCAGTGGCGCAGTTCGCATGCGTCCCCCTACCCAGAACAGCGCTTCGTGGCCCCATAGGGAGCTCCCCCGAAGGTCTCGGTGGCGCAGTTCGCATGTGCCTCCCCCGCCCAGTAGAGCGTTTTGTGGCACTATAGGGAGCTCCACCGGAGGTCCCAGAAGCACGATGGCCCAGCTGCGAAGTTCGCATACGTCTTCTACGCGTCCAGTGCAGCGTTTCGTGGCCCATAGGGAGTTCCACGGAAACGATACCCACAGCTGCGGCGCTCACAACTGCATATGGTTGGGTTTTTCGCCAGGCTAATGTTTTAAACCGAATGTGGCGAGAGCCACATTTTGAAAACGGCCCGCCCTCAATTCGAGAAGCCCTTGCAAGTTTTTAAAGCGAATTTGCGCGGCGCTAAGGCGAGAACCGCATTTTGAAAACCACCCGCCCTCCAACTGAAGCTGTTGTCAATATTAAAGCTTCACGGTCATAAGTGGTCCGCCCTAAAAATTGGCCCCGAGGTGCGACAGGGATATGTTTCTTCAAAAAAAGACATGGAGGAGGAGAAGGAGGAGGAGGAGGCGGAGGAGGAGGAGGAGGAGGAGGAGGAGGAAGAGGAGGAGGCGTAAGTTGAGGAGGGGGAGGGAGGAGGAGGAGGAGGAGGAGGAGGAGGAGGAGGAGGAGGAGGAGAGGAGGAGGAGGAGGAGGAGGAGGAAGAGGAGGAAGAGGAGGAGGAAGAGGAGGAGGAGGAAGAGGAGGAGGAGGAGGAGGAAGAGGACGGGTGGGAGGGCAAGGGGCAGGCGGAGGATGTGAATGGGGCAGACGTGGCAGGGCGAGGGGGGGAAGGGAAGGGGACGAGGATGACGGAAAGGCCCTCGGGGCTTAGGAGCACTGCGTTTCCATGGCGGGCCGCTCGCCGCTGCGGCGATGGCGGGCCGCGGGCGGCTGCAGCGGAACGAGCGGTTCTTCGGCCAGGCGCCTTTCCTGTTGGGCGGCGCGCGCGCGCGCGCCCGCCCGTGCGCGCGCGCGACCCCCGTGGCCGGGCCGGCCTGGCCCGCCCTTGCCCCCTCGAGCGCTCCCCGCTTCTCGCTCCGCGCTCCTCGCTCCTCGCTCCTCTTCCTCGCTCCTCGCTTCCTTCGCCTCGAGCCTCCTCCTCCCTCCTCGCTCCTCGCTCCTCTTCCTCGCTCCTCGCTTCCTTCGCCTCGAGCCTCCTCCTCCCTCCTCGCTCCTCGCTCCGCGGCAGGCGGCGGCCAGCGCCAGTGGCGACGCCGGTGCCGAGGCGGCGGGGCGCTGGGGGGCCGGCGGGCCCAAGGGGTGGCAACGGCGGCGGCGGCGGCGCAGCCGCGGACGACGGCGCGTAGCGTCGGCGTCGCGATGGTCTCGACGGCGACGAGGGCCTGACGGCGACGAGCGATGAGGTGCCCAGACTTTTTGGCGTCATGCGAAGGTCCTGGCGACCGGTGCTT